CACTTCTCAGCGTGACAATGTGGTCATTCTAAGTCCGTCCGGCAGCCCGCACACCTTCCCTGCCACAGCCATGGCTTTACGACTTTGATGTTGACTCTGAGCCGCGCCGGCCATGTGGATGAGCTGCCGTACTAGAAACTCTTAGAGCCTTTTGCCTTGCGCAGTGTTTGTGTTTTCTCCTCTGGCTTCAGATCTCTCTTCCATGTGGCTTTCAAGTGGCTTCATATTTTGGCCAACAGTTAGTGTCAGAAAAAGATGGTTAGGAAATAAATACCTAAGAGATAGTTGGTTCAAAATGAATGTGTTCTTTTGACAGTGCTCTTTCCAAGGGCAAAGAAATTCTGGGTGTAGCTCAGGTTTTGGCCACATATTTGAATTCAGACAGGGTTAGTATTCTCACACGTCGTCTGAGAGAAGAAATAGGTAGTTGGCTCCCGCAGCCTTAGAGTTCATAAAGTGAGCTTAGATCTTTGCATTTAAAATGCCTTTTGGCAGAAGGTGATTATGTTAGTCGTACAGAAAAAGAAGGCTCTTCCCACTGATTTATGTTCTTGGTATTTTCTGGGAATTTTGTCTACCTTTAGAGAACAGTCTGATCCTTTTTAGATCGCATTAAATTCCTCCGAAACAGTGGCATGCCACAAATGCCTTTCATTTCTTAATATATAATAAGCGAGTCTCCCACTCTTTCACTGAATGCAACATGGTCGAGCAAAGCCGTGACCCATCCTGACGGCCGACACTGACAGAAGAGATGAGAGGTTCTATGCATGGTTCCAAAATAATGCCTGAAGAGAGTTAACTGACCTTGATAGATAGCAAGAGGTTCACGTTGATTGACGCAGGTCTCCCGTTAACTTGGTCTTAAACACCCAGCAGAAGAGAATAACCCAAAGAGGTATAAAATAACGCCATAGTAATAAAGCTAGCTATGAAAAGGGGCTCCAGTCACTGACCCCCTCTGGCAGTTCCCAGCTCTACCAGCAGCTGACCACGGTTATGGACCATTAGGAAAAAACTATGGTAAAATCTGTAAGAGCTCAGCTAGAGTTTTATATTTCTTGGCGAAATCTGTTCTTCGAATCGTCTCTTATCTTACAGCTAAAACTAGAGACAAATTATCAGATTTATAGATAACCTCTATCCATGAAATAATCTAAGTCCAGTGGGTTCAATCACTATTTCAATTTCTAAGTGTGACTTTCTCCCCAACCTGCCCTTCCATGCTAGTGTGCTCGTGCTTAGATTATGCACACTCTAATTTCTTTAAAAGTTTTTTTTTTTAATCCTTGCCTAGAGGCTGCCAAACTCCAAGTGATCATACAAATGGAGCCAATGACAAATGTGCTAGACTTCTTTTACCTGGATCCACCAGACTGACTTTGTAAACAGCTCATGACTGCTAAACTATATAATATGACTTCTACATTGGATTCTAAAGTCCCCTGGATCCTCTCCTTATCCTCTTCGTGGGCTATACTCATAGCAATCCTGCTGACCTTATAATTTGGCCCATGCATTCTTAACTGTTTCTTTGGCTTTGTCTCCTCCAGACTGAAAAGCTATGCAGCACCAAGATGACAATGCCAGGCCCCTACCGAAGGTCCTTAGATAGACCCTCTGTAGAGTAACTCTAACTGCTGATCACAACTATCACCCTCTTCAGCTGGAAGTAGCCAGAGCTGTCTTTGCCCTTTGCCCCCTCACAGCAGTTAGGGAATTTCTTCAGAGGGGGAATATTGCAGATAGTTAGATTAGTTAGGTATCTTGTAGGCAGTTAGACAGGGCCACCCTCAAAAAGCCAGCACAGCAAGGAGCCAACGTGGAGGACAATCAAGACACATTCACTGAAGGCCAGAAGTGTAAAAGGAGAGAAACTATTATACCTTTGTGCTTCCCCTGGGGATAAATAGCAGTGATTGGTATTCTAAATAGGTTTCAGTCACCTGGGTGGGGGGCCAAGGTCTTAACCCAGCCTTTCCAGGAAATATTCCTGACCCCCACCCTTACTGAAAATCCTTGTACTCTTGTTCTGTGACTTGTTCTGCCATTTGACCCCCATTTAATCAATATTACTTGGGTGACTGTACTTGTAATCTTATTGGTTGGTCATGGTTTTGCCCCAGTTCATGCCCACCTTGTAAGTTTCCATTGAGTCTTACAGTTTTGTCCTACTTTGTACCCGCCTCAACACATGGCTTTGCTGTACAAAACATCTTGGAGAAGTGGGATGAGTGGGAAACTCACTTTCCGGTCCTCCCCTGTCTCTCTTAGACAGAAGCTTTCTTTCCCTCAATAAATTTTTCCAGCAGGGTGTGGTGGTGCACGCCTATAATCCCATCACTGGGGAAGCTGAGGCAGGAGGATTACTGTGAGTTTGCGACCAGACTGGGCTATACATAGTGAGACCCTGTCTCAATAAATAAATAAATAAATAAATAAATAAATAAATAAATAAATATAAATAAATAAATAAATAAATAAATAAATAAATAAATAAATAAAATTTTCTGCTCTTTACATAAATATATGTGTGTGTGTGTGTGTATGCATTAATAACTGACAGCAATTCTTCCTAATAGGTTTAGTCAAATAAGTGCCTTCTGCACACCCAGATCTTTGTCTGCCATTGTAGTCACCAGTGAAACATGGTACTTAAGGAGAACTCATATCGTTCCTATAACTTGAAACACACAAAACAAAAGTAGCAAATCTTCCTCTCCATTATGATTTTTAAGTATTTTTTTTTATATCTCTTGCTCTCATATGAAGATGGTTTCAGGATCAATTCAAAGATGTCTTTAGCAGCATCTTCTTTTCAAAGGGACAGCAAAATCATTAAATTCCTTTTAATTATGTGAACCTGCCTAAACATAGGAGATATATTTCCGAACAAAAGAAATCCATCTGAAACATGAAAATGTTCATAGACAAAACTGTCCTAAATCGTCAGGGCGCCTTTCATTGAAACTAACTAGAACCAAACTCATAGTAGCACAAGTTAAGTGAGAATATACTAATTCTAACTAATACTAACTCAAATACCTGGGGTAGAAGGCTTCAGCTAGATTCAGCATCTCAAACAGTTATATGGGATGTATTCCCCAGTTTTGCCCAACTTACTCTGGCTTTATTTTCCTCTCTATCTGCCTCATTTTCAGGTGAGCTACTTGCTCATAGTAGCTCCTGGCCACTGCAAGTTCACATTCAGTCAATATAATCTCCACGAGGGGAGAGATACTCCCTCTCCCCATTGCCTGTGGTTTTAGCAGGAGTCCCAGGCTGGGCTCTCATTGTCTCAGCTTGGATCCATCCCTGTGGACCAAGTAAGGAGGTATTCATCTTGAATCAAGGCTGAGCTAGGGAACAGGTCGGCCCTGGTCAGACCCTACTGTGTAATAGCATGCAAGAACTTCTTAACCCTCTCTCACTGCAATTTTGTGTCTCTTTATCAGGCTCTCCTCAGCCCTTCCTCCTGGCTACTCCCCAGCCATGTAAAAAAATTAGTACATTTTTAAAACTGTAAACTTTTAAAAGCAAAAAGAATGAAGCCTGGATATGAAACTTGGCAAATCGACCAGTTTATTACTACAGATCTAAATTACAGGTTTCTGAAATATGCATATATATGTAATTTTCAGTTTATTTTCCTCTTTATAACACCAGAGTTTTAGCCAAGCAAGGACTCTCCAGAAGACACTTACCACTTTATTCTACTTTTTTCCATCATGCCAACATTTTTCTTTACTTCCTTTTTTTTTTTTCCATTTGGAACTTCAGTTACAGCAAAGGCAAACATATATTTCACAAAATTGATGACAGCAGTGATTAATTTTTTAAAAGATCATAATAAACCAACCTTACCAGCTTTAGTCTCATTCTGTAGGCTTTCTTTTCTTCTTCCTTTCTTTCTTCATTACTGTCAACCTACAAAACCCTCCTGCTTTCAACACTAAAATAAAAGCTCCATGGCACTCTGCAGCACCAAGAGACAGCTTCCGTTCTGGAGTTGGCCTCGCTTGTCCTCTCATAGTAGCATCTGCATTACCATAATGTTCCTTTTCATCCGCCATGGCTCCTAAATATACTGATTTGAGCAATGAGATTCGCCAATTTTTCATCATTCTAGAAAAGACAGTAGCCGACACTCTAGTGGACTCAGTGATCTTAGTTGGAGGTGTTAAGAATTGCTCGGGGCTATGAGGACCTGTGTAAATTACAGCCATGCAGAGAGGCGTTGAAAAATCAATAAGTAATGAAATAGTACTGCAGTGAAGTAGCCAAGAGAGCAATGGGTGGGAAACTCCCAAGGAGGCAGTTTCATTTTGTCAAAAGGTAAAAGAAGATGTTCTGATGTGTTTCTATAAAGCGGGCTTCCTCGGAAATAAGAAGCTTTTGGCAAAGAGAGCAGTAGTGTCACTCCAGTGGGCCGCAGGAGCGCGATGGATTATGGTCTTCTTGGCACTCCAGTTTTATTTTTAATTATTTTAGGTTTTTATCCCAGTAAAGTGAAAACTGTGGCACTTATTTTCTTCAGCACTGAAGGTATCTTCCCCTTGCCTGGTTTCCGGTACCCTTGGTACTCAAGCACACACCACTTCCTACTTCCTATAAAGGCCCATCCATATGGCCTACACCAACCATCTTCGCCTTCCTGTTCTTGTTAGCAGTGTTCCCCAAGAATGTGATGGTGTGCATAAACCTGGATGTCACCTAGTGGCTCCTGCTTGTTCACAGATGCCTCTGGAAATGTGCATCCTGCAGGCTGAAACTCTCTGAGCCTACTTGCCCGGGGGCTTCATTTTGAATGCAATATTCATGACGTTGAGAGTCCTCCTGCTGATATTTACATCTGCTAATTTTTTATTTAAAATTACAACCAAGGCCCAGTTGTTCATGATTTGTTTTGAGGCAGTAGAATGGATTTTTGTACATATTTTGGAGTATTTGACTATAACCAAGAATTTGGTGGGGGAGAGGTATTCAGTCCTTTGGACAATCTACTTCTTCCCTGCTTCCAAATGAAAGTCTCCGTCTGTCACCTTTCCAATGGCCACTGGTCGTCTTTGCTCCTTTTCTACAAAAAAAAAATTAAAACAAAATTGCATAACAAAATATTAAGAGAATAACAACAGTTAATACATTGCGTATCCTTATCGTTAAAGTAGTTACTCAGAGCTTCGCTCTTCACACATCCATTTGGGATGTACATGAACCTTCTGTAGGAAGGATGAGCCACCATCCAAAACTGGAAATCTAGATCAAAAGAAGGGGCCTGTAAAGATGTCACCCGAGAGCTGACCAAATATGGAAATACATTTACATCTGTGTGTGTCTGTGTGTGTGGCTTCTGGCCTTTGTTTCTCAATACACCTATTAAAACTGGAGAATGTCCTGAGCTTTCCTTTGGGTCAGATGATATCTCTCTGGCCACTGGGGTTGAAACTTCAAAACATACCGGTATGGAGAGGAAGAAAATAATCGTTACTCTTTGTGCAATTAAATGTCTTTATAATCTTTGTGAGATTGTGACTTGAATCTTAAAACACCGAGTAGCATACTCTGTCTTCATTCCTTTACTGACACCCAAGTACATTTGGTGCACTGACAAGGAAAATCTTTTATACTTGATAAAACAGGGCAATCACCATAAACTAAAGAGCACTGGGATTTGAACCAACTGCCAGCCCATTTATTCTATGTCAAGTATGTTTCCTGATAATGAATGAACTAGCTTTAATTATTGTTTTTAACTTTCAGGCTGTGTCTTCCTGTATTGGAAATAAAGCCCAGTGTGTAGGATTTAAATCCCCCCCCCCAAAGAACTTTTCTCTGATACATCTAAATAGAACAGGGGAGAGGTTTATGTGGCTGGAACTATCAGCTTCATTTAGCTTTCCTCGTCTCCTTACATAAACACATAGGATCCAATTGCTTGCTTTGTACCCATCATGTGCACCCGTTTTGGTGAAAAGTCTAACAGATGATAGATAGACTCAGTGCCTGTGCCTTCATCCTACTTCCATGCTTGCTTGTCTTTCACTCACTGTGCTCCTAGCAAATCCCTGTGAGCCAAGTTCCTTGACGGCCATGAATGCAGCAATACTCCCTACCTCCAACCATCTCTCTGTTGATGCCATTATCCATGGTTTATGACATTACAACCACAGTAATGAATTGATATGTCTTGATCTTTGAAATGCTTAGACAGGAGGCCACACATTATAAGAAAAAAACCACATCAAGACTTGGTTCTATTCGGCAGGGGTTGGAAATGAATATTATGTAGAAAATGCATTAAAGTTGAAGAGAGTTTTGCTTAACATGATGATTTTAATGACGTAAACAATCATGATGGGCAATAACTCCTTCACTCAGAAGACTGTGGGGAGACCCTACTTAGGTAGGGCAGGGTGCTGGTGTGATTCCAAGTCGTGCTACCATCACAAGACACTAGGGGTCACCATATTAATACCAGTGTCCTAGTTCCACTACCCTCCAGAAAAACCTACCATCAGTTAGTTCTTGGCTCCTTGTTTCGTCCAGAAATGTTGTTCCAGGCCTATTGTTCATGACATGTGACCATTTGCAGTTATTTCAAACACCACTAAAATAGCAGGGTAGAGTTCTCTCTAAGCCTCCTTCGGGTGAATGAGATATTTTAAGGGCCACCTGTACATGTCAATCCATTTCTTTGGGCTAGATGTAATAATAAGGGTATACAAACCAGTCATCCAAATATGGGCCATTTTCATTCAAAAGCTATGTGGAATTCCAGTCCAGTATTCTGCCGATGTCTGATTCCATCACACCAGGATAACACTTCCTCTAGCCAGGATTGATACTTCTGTTGAGAGTTGATTAAGAAATCAATGTCTCTTTCTTTCTTTCTCAACTCTGTGTTTTCATCCCTCAATTCAGAAATTATTTTCCAAAGAAGTTTAAGTAATTGTCTATAGTCCACAAGTATATGGTCACCTGGTTCTACCATGGTCCTGAGCATCAGGATGAGTAACTATGGACCCAGGTCGGTCTACGGAGGTTCTGAACTCCAAAGGATAGGGTTCGGCATATTCCAAATCAGAACCTTAAGGGTAACCCTCCCCACACCCACGCTGCCACCCCAAGCAGGAAGCTTTAGTTATCTCATTTGGGGTAGAGCTTCTGAAGCACAGGATTAAAGCAGACGACAATCTGTAAAACAAAAACAAACAAACCAAAAATAAACAGTTCTTTGAGGAATCACATGGCAGTTGATCATAAGCTATGGTATTTTACACATTCTCTTTGTTTCTGTTTCGTTGATCTGTTGAGTGCCTAATATGTGTAAGTGACGTATGTTGGGCAGTGAGGGGCATGCAAAGAAACACATGTAGAAAGAAAACAGTAATTCCTGTGTCCTCTTCCCTCTCCTCAACGCATGTCCACCTGCCTTGCCCAAACAGCCTTCCTTCATCCCCCACTTTTCTCCCACGGAGAGGAGGTTCTCTCTTCCTCCCTCCTGCACGCCCTACTGTCCTGGACTCTTGCTGGCCTTTCCTATCCTCTCTTTCTTTCTAACCCCTTGTCTTGGGTGTAACAGTAAAGATACTCTACTGTATTTTGCAGTTTTTTAATCCTCTCTGTACTTAATTTGTTAAAGAAGTATTTGTTTCCCAAAGAAAATACTAAATCATTCTGATTTTTGTCTATAGCCATAACCAGTTTTTTCCTGTGAGTTATCAGCCCTTGTCAGTAAAAGACAAGGAGTCCCTTCTTTCTTCTTCTTCCAAACCATATCCACAACTTGGTAGAAAAGTGATTTAAGGTCTTTCTGGGTAGCAAATTAATTTTGCAAAGCCAATGGTCTAGAAGTAGATAAATAAATCAAGAAGCTGGAAAAGGTGGTATTTGTTAGGTAGGTATATCAGAGGGCTTGAGATATGGTCAGCCTAACCTGAAAATTAAACTCTATTGGGCCCAGGCCTTACTTGATACCAAATAGCAATGAAGTCATTCAGGGTATAATCATATCAAAGGGTATGCTTGCTCTTATTTGTTCAGTTCTCCCAAGCGCTAGCTGTAAACACCAGCTTCACAGAACTTGAAATTAAAAACAAAACACAAAAAAACGATGTTAACGGAGGCTCATGACTTTGACCTTCCATTTCTCCAGAATAGGGGGTTCTTAACAAGGGGAACCTTGGCTCTTTTTGCAGTTGCCATGGGAAAGGGGCAGGGAAAAGTTTCTCCAAGGTCTTCTTTGAGCAGGTTGCATTGGGTGTGACAAAAAATTGCAATGCAATGCATCAGGGCATGGAGAGCTTTATGGGATCTGCTTGGGTTCATAGGTTTTATTTCCTTTGTGGACCTGTGATCAGATACTTATCCTGACTACATCCAAAGCTGCACTTGGATGATCCTAGTGACCTTGTAAATAAGAAGACAGTAACACAAAAGTTCCTCATCAGGTTCTAGGGACTCCACTGGATGTGGTAGCACATGTCCATAATCCCAGCACTCAGCAGGCTGAGGCAGGAGAACTGCTGGAAGTTCGAGGCCAGCCTGGGCTACATAGTGAGGCCCTCTCTCTTAAAAAAAAAAAAAATCTAAAAGAGTCAGAAAGTCTGATGAGTTTCATGAGTGGGCTAAAAATATAAGTGAAATGTGGGGCATTGTTAACATTTCTGCAGAGGTTCTATCATGTTGATTATTCCTTTCAACAAGTCATGGACCCTACAAATTTAAGATCCCACTGAACAACAGGGTTTGTTTGTTTATTTGTTTGTACCAGGGATTGAACTCAGGGCCTTGTGCTTGCAAGACAGGTGTGGTGCCGTTGAGCTACATCCCCAGCCCAAGAGAATTTTGACTTAGGTCTTTTAAGGCTGAATCAGGCATATCTTGGTCAGGCTTCCTCACTGCATGGATCAGAAACTTTTGATTAATAATAATAACATTTGCTGAGTGTTTCCCTTTGGGCCAGGGCCCTCTCCTAGTACATGAGCCATGTTCAGTTAATCCTCATCAGAGGGGAAGTCTTATCCTCTTATCCTTATCCTTACTGGGCAAATGAGGATGCCAAGGCAGGGGCAGGCAGCTTCCCAGGGACACAGATGTACATGTAATGTGGCGGAGTTCAGGCGTGACTAGCATCTGGCCCCACAGACCAGGGCTTTGACCAACCATTCGCCCAAACACAGTCCCTTGACTGAAGGGGACGACTTGTCCATCTCAGAACAAAAAAGAACAGACGGTCTAAGGAAATGTGGACACTAAGGAGCGAATAGGAAAATAAATCTGAGCTCTGCCATCCCAGTCTGTCTCCCAGGATGTTGGTGATTCAGGGGAATTCCCAGGTGCTACTCAGAGCCAGGACAGCAGGCAGGGTCAGGGCGGAAGTGGTAGGTTGTTCGTGAGCCCTTGGGATCTTTGCATCTCATATTAGACTTGCACTTGTTGCTCAGCAGTTCCCAGCCTTCTCCCTCCTTTCACTTGGAGCTCCCCAAAGGCAGGACATGGCGGGGTCATGGAGATTGTTGTACAGATGAGAACACTGAGACCCAGAGAGCGTACACCCTCCCCCATGCTATGCTTTGGGTGTGGCTTGGGTGTCTTCCAAGAGTCCAATCTACCTGAAGGCTCAGGTCCCAAGAAGGTGGCCATGGGAGGTGGTAGAAGTTTAAGAGGTCTTGACTTCCGTGTGCAGCCAACTCTGCATGCAGGGGGCACTTTTTTTTTTTTTTTTTTTTTTTTTTTTT